GAAATCCCTTTCCCGAACAACGCTCGGATGATCGGGGTCATTGATATGGTGTCGCAATCGTTCGGGACGCATGCATCGTGCGAACGGTGCGTTGGCATATCATGTGCTTGAGATTATGTGCGCCTTCGACAAATCCTCGGAAACCGGCGAACACGTCGTCATCGAAAGCACGACGGAACGTCCTGATCCTGTACCCCTTGGTTTGGAGGAGTGGGAAATAGACTGAATATATGGCGGTCGGCAGTCGACGTTGGCGGTCAGCAGTTGGACATGAGGGTTGATCATAGGAAGAGTGGAATCCTGTTGGGTGGGTAATGATGTCTGTTGTCTGAATCAGATTTACAGATTAGAGGATTCACAGGATTATGTAGCCAAGCGGTCGGGATTTGAAGATCCATCCTACAAGGCGAATCTATGTTAAGACCGCACAATCCTTAAGCACGACCCGAATTGACCCAAAACCATGCCTGAAACGAAGTGGAAAGCAGTCCAGGAGCTCATAGTTAAAAATATGAAATTGGAATTATTGGCTGTGGAACCATCAGCAGTGCCTATTTTGAAGGGGCACGAAAAACCGATTATTTTAGAAATCAAAGCCTCACTGACCTCCCGAATGGAATCGGCACAGGCGCAAGCCGAGAAATATAACGGCCCACGCATGCACCGTCTGACGAATTGCTCGCAGACCCAGAGATAGAACTGGTGGTGAACCCAGATTCCGCGGGCACACATGTGGGATGTTTGGCTTGCAAAGTTTTGAAGCCGGTAACACGTCTACAGCGAGAAACCGCTCGGCGTGGATGTCGAAAGCGGAAGACAAACTGATTGATTACTGCCGCTGAAAAAGACTTCGCGTCGGATCGGCACCCGATACTTTCCACTTCCTCGGTGCTGGCATCCAACCTCGCAGGGGCAGCGTTGTGATGCGGGAACATCGGTAGACCCACAATCGCGCGAGTGTCGTTCATTCGTGTCGACACGTACCACCCGAAGGCCGGCACCCGAATCCGGCTTTCTTTTAGCGACACTCTGCGGCGAGACGCGAATGCATGCTATGGAGGACCATTACTACTATAGTACTGCACGACGTCGTCAAGTATCACTCGCGTCGGTCAAGCGCGTTGCCCAGCGATACTACGACCCACAGGTATTGAGGAGCGCATCGCACAACGAGTCATCGTTGGATGTGCATCGAAAGCCCCTTTGAATCACAACGCACTCACAGGCACGCGATTGACAGTTTGAGCAGTGACGATCGGTCACGACCTCAGTGACGAGAGGTCAGAAATAAGGGAAGAGAACAGTGATTTTGAATATGTGGCGACAGAGTTGCCGTGCATTAATCGAATCTAAACGGTCGAACCGGTTCGATGCAGAAGTGTGCCGGATCGAACGGATTTGGCGGTCCCGTAAGATGTGATGTCCAGCCGTTGGCGATTGGGAAGCGGAGGAACTCGCTTTTCCAGACAATGCGACGGATAATTGGGTTATCGATATGGTGTCCGGCAATCCGTTCGGGACGCATGCACCGTGCGAACGCGGGTTGGCATACCATGTGCTTGAGGGTTTGTGTGTTATCAGGCAGCCGACCACAGCGATTGGTCATAAGAGTTGGAGGTGTGGGGGTGTCTTAGCGGGGGTGGTATCCAGTGCAAAAATGTGTCCAAGTTTGTCGGATAGGATTTACGACCAGGCCACGAAGACTGTAGATTGAAAAAGCAGTATGCATTTTCGATGTTCAAACGGGGGACATGTTAATGATTCAGATTGCCTGATTACAGTGGACAGTTGTTTAAGGAGTGTTGAGAGAAAGGTATGGCGTGGGGCTTGCGGGCCAGGTGAGGTTTCATTGCGGTGTGGATGAGGATGTAAAAGTGAGGTTGAGGGATAATAGTAGATATACCAGTAGAGAGGGGGAAATGCGGGAGAGTTCTAAGAGTTTGGATTAGGTAGAAAGAACTGGTGGACACGTGTTTGGAGACGGCGGAAGAAGGGGTCTATATGAAAATATCGCCATTGGGGGGCACACGTGAGGTGGGTGGGTGGTGGGGAGAGGTCATTAGAGTAAGTTACATTAGGGAGAGGAGGGGGGGGGGTGAATGTGTGAGAGCCTTCCTCGATGTGGCATTTAGCGTAGATGGCAATAAGAATAGACTTGTAACGATTGAGTGTCGTGGTCGGTGGTAGATTACAGTCTGTGTTAGCTCGGTTCGATAGAAACAAATATGGGAGGGGAGCTCAGGAGGGGCTGGTTTGGGGGGTTAGAAAAGGGGGGTGCAGCGGAAAGTGTTGGGAGCTCGGGGGAAGTTGGTGGGGACTGTATACTGTAAAAAGGTTTAGAGGAATTGTTAATGGGTGTGTTGGTTCTTGGAGGTGAGGTATCGTTAACGAGTTCGAAGCATCTGGTGGGAGTTTTAAGAAGCGGGTGTTCCGTGGGGATATGAGAAGTACGGGGTCTGAGGAGGGTAATTATAGAAAGAGATGAATGTGGATGCTCCGCGTTGACAATCCTCAGAAACCGGAGAACATTTGTTGTTATCGAAGCACGACGGACGTCCTGACCGCGTTACCGCTCGGTTTTGCGGAATGGAAATTGATTAGTATGGATCAGGACTTACGCAAGTTTTGATCATAGCCCGCGTTGTGAGATGGAGGCCACCTGTAAAAAACGCAGTTGGTTCCAGGGCAACAGACTAACAGTCTATGCTACAAAGAGCAACATGCGTAAGTCCTAATGATAACAAAAATCCAAGTTACGGCACACGGAGTGTGCCTACTACTTTTAATCGAACTCACGTTAGATAGACCATGCGTGGATAGCGTTTCTATACATCTTCGCTGGCGAGGTTCCACAGTTTGTAGTAGGGCGATTTATCGCACGTTCGGGAATTACCGATTATAAATTCTGAATTTCATAAAACCGCACCATACCGGCCTGGGAATATGCGGTTTAGTGCGCCCGTAGGTGTTTTTTCTAAATTGACACTATGGAATTCGGAGATCCCTCCTACAAATTAATCGTAATGTAGGTCTCCAGTCGGAACAGAATCGCCACGGTGGCCCCAGAAGGTTGTCATCGACGAATTCACCTAACACGAGACGAGAAAGAAAGGGTGCCGCCCTCCGAAACCGCCGATACCGCCATGTTTGGTAATAATCCATTCAGGATGAAACTCACGAGGAGCGAAAACCCAGAAGAATTCATCGTGAAGGTGCTGGGTGTGACGGCATAACCCGCTGATGGAACGGTATCCACATCCACCGACTGCGGAAAAAAGCTAAAAGAATCACCATGAGACTGTCCCGACACTGATCGCACTCAGCACTGCGGTGTCGGGGACCGTCGCGGGTTGGATGAGCCGTCTATCCGAGCCGACCTGAAGTCTCTCTACCCGCCCACGCTGTATAGACGCCGTCCGATACGAGACGTGCAGGTACGCCCAGTCGTCGCGACGATACTGACACCGATAGCGACGATGACCTGCCTCGCGAAGGTCTTGTTTTCGATGTCAGCACGCTCTGCAATTTTCAAACCCTCCAGATGGTGTGGCCTCAACCGGCAATCGTAGGCACCCGATTAAAAAATAGAGATACGCCAACCCCGTCAGATTACTCGGACCGAGCCGTTTCGCGCCCGAAAACAGAATACATCAGCCTGTCGGGACCGGGCATCATGCTGGCGTGACCGGTGATCCGAGTTTCCGGCACGCACCGTCGAATCCCCCGTCGCCAACGCCGAAGAACACGCCAAAAGGTCGTCGATGACCACAATGACATCCCGAGTTTGTAGCAGAAAACAACAAGAACACCATGCTCACACACATCCATATCACACGCTGCCCGGTAAGAGATCGGTTCATCTCCGTCATCGAGTGTAGATCAGCGCCCCAAGCAGCCTACGGACCACCTGCGTCAGTATCGGCGCGCACTCCAGACCGCAACCAACACGCGATACCGGTCATACGCTCTCGAAGATTGCTCCTCCGCATGACGGAACGGTGCTCGATCACCTCTCGCCGAGCGCGCCTGCCTAACACACGGAGTGCTTGCCAATCCAGGTAAAAGTAACCAACAGGAAACGACAACTCCAACGGCATAAAAACGCCAATCCAATGGCGACGGGTAAATGCCGATCGGAAACCATGTAATCGCGTTCCATGGCGGACGGTAAGAATCGGCGATGTCCGTACGTCACGGATACCACTGAGTCGGGGACTTGCGTAACAGGTAATTAATCCCGTTGAGGAGATCGATACCAGCCGCACACCCGAACCCAATCCACATCGCCTTATTTCGGAGAACCCCGCTCCTCGGATTCGCCATCGCCAGCGGCAATTGGATGAGCGGATAACTCAACTTCTCATTTTCGGTCCCCTGCTTCGGAAATGAAGTTGATGCTGAGCATCACGGAAAACGCGCAGCGAGAAAAAGCCCGCCACAACAACAACGGGTGCTCCATGCATCAAGGTGCGGGTAGAACGTAGAGCCACCCATCGAAAAATTGGCGAGTCCGCGCTTATCGGTAACGGATGCCCATGACGGTATATAATGCCAAACAGGATTGCCAATCGTTTTTCCGGCGTTGCGTAGGCAAAGGCGTAACTGATATCGGAGGAGAATCTGCACACACATGTGCCCACCGATAGCGGTCGAGAGGCACAACATCACATAGATCGTCAGGAGTTTCGGCAGCGAAAGAGAGAGTTGCGGCGAGACTTTCTTCGCGAGTCGGTTGATGATCGTGCAGCACGAACAGCAGCGTGACGTGTTATAGAGCAGTGAGATCATCGACATGTGTGCGATGTCCCACGTAGCCCCATCATCTGCCACATCGCATTCGCTGGAATCAGCAGGAGTCCGATGCAAACGGCTTTCCAAACTAAGAGGAGAGAGTTTTGACGCTTCACATGAATAGTTGTCAGTTTTCAGTTGTCAAATTCGTAACAGGATACCTCATCATCGGGAGGTCTTTGATTTGAGACATCTAACGAGCCATGGGTTCACGGTTGACTTGTCCTATTCACGGTGTACACCAACCCGACGGTCCCGGTCTTCTCGTACACCTTGTGCTCCTTCAACGTCAACTCGATGCGTTTGGACGGTTCCTCAATGAGTGGAATACCGCCACCGAGCACAATTGGTATGATAGCGACCTCTACCGTGTCAACGAACCCCTCTTCGGCGAGACTGCGAAACAGGGACCCGCCACCGAATAGCCAGATGTCCTTTCCCTCTTCCTCGCGGAGCGACTGCAGCACCTGTTTCCAATCCTCACCGACGATTGTGACATCCTCGTAGTCGCTCTGTCGTAAGGTTCGCGAGATCACGAACGTTTGTGCGTCGGACACCGATGCCTGTCCTGCACCGCTCGTGACCTCAAATGTTCGCCGACCCAGTAGATAGGTATCGAACTGCGCGGACATCTCGGCGAAGTCGATATCGGGATCCATGACAATCCAATCGAACTCCCCATCGGGTCCAGCGATGTAGCCATCAAGGCTTATAGCGACACAATAACGAATTCGTCTCACGTTTCAACCTCCGTGGCTTTGAATAAAATAACCCAGGTTGCCATCTTTGTAGCACAATCTTTTAGTTTGTGTCATCTGGTGCCGCAAACTAACAGTTTGCGCTACAGTGAGAACAGTTTTACTAAACCGAAAACCTCAATTGAAACGTTGGTCTGGTGCGCACGTCAGAGTTTGGTATGCTTAAATCAAACTCACTTTATATATCAGGTACGCCCCTCAACGCCTGAACAATCCACTGCTTTTGAAATACCTATATCGGAACATTACACATAGCACTCCGCTGGAGTGCAAGAACTTGGGTGTCCCGTTTTCTATAGACATAGCACTCCGCTGGAGTGCGGAGACTCATCTGATAGGTGTGATATGTCGCGTCGAGTTTCTCTAATTCTTATATCGAACTCATGTTATACCATTTCTAAAAGTTTATATTGCATTAACCGCACTGAGCGCACAGACTCACAGTCTATGCTACAAGGAGGCACAAACTAAAAGTTTATGCTACAATTTCAATCAGAAATGGTATTATATATCAGGTACGCCCCTCAACGCCTGAGTACTTCACTGCTTTTGAGATACCGATAGAGATCGCTATCCGTTGTTAAGATAAGTTTCGTACGATCGTTGGTTGTTTGGCGATAGGTTTCAAGGGTTTGGATAAAGGCGAAAAACTCCGGATCTTGACCGTGTGCTTCGGCATAAATCTGGATGGCTTCCGCATCTGCGGTTCCTTTAAGCTGCTCGGCTTCCTTATAGGCTTCAGATTGGATCCGCTCTAACTCCTTCTGCTTTTGCCCCATGATGTCAGCGGCTTCACCTTCACCCTCCGATTTGTACTTTTCAGAGATCCGTTGACGTTCCGAAACCATGCGATCAAAGACCTTCTTGCGGACTTCGTCTACATAGTTGATTCGCTTTATCTGAATATCGACGAGTTCAATACCAAACTGCGGAACCGTTTCCTGAACTTTTTCGAGCATCATCCGTGTAATCCGCTTTCTACCACTTTGAATTTCTTCCAACGCCTCGCCGGCTTGCCCTTCCGAATCCTCAAGCTCTTCCAGATCAAGACTTAAAATCCGGTTTGAATCCCGCACGACCTCAACCAGCAGCTGCGCCGTCATAAATCACGCGCCGCAGATCGATAAGTCATCTAAGCGAGATTGCGCACAACTCTTCTGTCCCGAGTGCCTGTAGAATTTGAGAGCGTCTTTAATACGCCACCGCCGTCGTATCGAGCCAGATGAATTTCTTGTCCTTCGTCGGAATCTGGTTAGGGGACCATCCCACTCAAGCACGCGCTTCTCAAAGCGATGACATCACTGAATAACGGGGGTCTCACTTTCAAACCCGCAGTGACAATCGGTTGCGCCAATAGGACGACCGAACTCGGTATACCACTGCTCACCTTCGTGGACCGTATAGTGAACACACCGCAACAATGGCAGCACCAGAACCACAAGGACAATCAACGGTATCAGAAATTTCTTCCAAATTCATCGGAACACTCCTTTTGTAGACGCGCTATTCTTTGAGTGCAGGATTGGATGGGTGCGTTGAGTTTCACCGTCAATGACATAACTCTCTTTCACCTGTGGCAAAACTTCTCGCATCGCTTCCAGATAGAGTCGGCGACGGGTAACCTCTTTCGCCTTTTGATACTCTGAACGAATCGACTTGAATCGATCGTGCATCGCCTTGTGCCTCGTTAACCCGTTTCAGTGCGTAACCCTGTGCTTCCGAAATCTTTTGTGCCGCCAACCCTTTGGACTTTGGAACCGATTGGTTGTAATCGCGCCACGCCTCGTTAATTAATCGCTCTTTCTCCTGTTTCGCCTCGTTAACGGCGTTAAAGGCGGCCTTCACCTGCTCTGGTGGATTCACATCCTGCAAGGTCACACTCGCCACATCTAACCCGGTTTGGTACAGATCCAGCAGTTCCTGTAGATGTTCTTCAACCACCGCAGCGATTTCAATACGACCGACAGTTAACACCTCGGTGACAGTGCGGTCCCCAATTATCCTGCTCATCACGGATTCCGAGAGGTCGCGTAAAGTCTGCCTTGGATTCCTCACAAAAAATAGGAAGGTTTTCGGGTCTTTAATCTTATACTGAACCACCCATTCGACATCGGCGATGTTCAGGTCCCCCGTCAGTAAGAGGGATTCGTCCGAGTAATCACGGGTGTCATACTGCGTCCGCACGCCGGCTCTCAGCGTCCGAAAACCGAATTCCTCTTTGAAGACCTTTCGGACGGGCACATTAATAGCTCTCTCAATGCCGAGCGGTAACTTGAAGTGGAGTCCAGGCTCGGCTTGCCGGACAGATTTACCGAACATCAGCACAACCGCGATTTCGTCCGCTTCGACCGTATAATAGCTGGTCGCTAAGACCCCTAAGACGATCAAACCGAGAATCGCAAACAAAACCCGCTTCGGGGTGATGAGACGCATGTAGGGTTGATGTGCAGTCCATTCATGGATTTGTTGCACGAGGATTTCTCCTTCTTTCTATTTCTGATATTTAAGGAAGTATACACTATCATAAACGCCTACCATTATAGTGCATTGCAAAAGCAGTCAAGACAATATGGAAAGCTATCAGCCATCAGCAGTTCAGCAGTCAGCCGGATATAGCCATCGGGTGGTCAGGGTGTATAGCGTCTGAATCCGGATTTTCAGGATAGGAGATGACTTTTTGTCTGAATCGCGGATTGTGCGCGGATGACACGGATTCGCGGATTTTTGGGGGAACCCTCCTGTCAAATCTACGAGTCAATTGGGGAATCCGCAGGGAAACCCCCAACCAAAACACCCCTCCCACAGGAAGGGTTAGATATTTGCCAAAAGATACATCTTTATGTATAATAACCCAAGTTGCTACTAATACCATTTCTAAGAGACTATATTGCATTTACGGCTCTTATCAAACAGGAACAGAACTCCACAGGCTAACAGCCTATGCTACAAAAGGAACAGAACTCCACAGGCTAACAGCCTATGCTACAAAAGGAACAGAACTCCACAGGCTAACGGGTCTCCTATGCGTACACAGGAACAGACTTCACAGTCTTAACATCCTATAGCTGAGCGGCATATTACTTTGGACAGAACTGCTAAAGCAGTGCGAACGGTACATCCTGCTGCACGGCGGTGGACGAACTGGCACAGGCTGACCTAGCCTATGGCACATATTGGGCCTTTTCACTATATAAATCCTATTGAGACACTTTCGAATCAGAAATGGTATAACAAGTTTTGAAGGTTTAAGGAGATGTTCACGCACTTTCCTCACCCCAGAGGGGTGATATGTCTATAGAAAACGGCGCATTTAAGCTATCGCACTCCAGCGGAGTGCTATGTCTATCTGACCCCGACCTCACCTAATCGCTCCGTTGCACGGCGGAGGACGGTTGATCCAGATAGGCTCGATAGAGATGTTGCTTGAGATCCGCATTGATCTCCGGTTTCGATAATTTCGTATAGAGTTCAAGTTTGCTATTGACGAAATCCAATAAAATCTCATTAATTACCTGTTCAAACTTGTAGCGTTTGTTCGTTTCGGTATTATCGCCCTCCATCACCTGCCGAAGCTCCTCGTTTTCGTGCACCTTTTGGTGAATGGTCTCAATGTCAACCTTATCTTCTGTCGTAAAATCTGTCTGATACGCAGTGTTCAGCGCGTCAACGATATTGGAGAGGAAATCCTGCTCAGGTTCCCTGATGATAGCGACAAAACGTCGCTGCCGATCCCTTCGACCTCGCTATCCGTCGCTTCAAGGGGGAGTTGTAGCCTGTCATGCGTTTTCTGCACACGAAACGAATCCAAGTCCACAGATTCCAAGACATCTTGCAGGTCGGGGTGTTCCCGTTTCGGTAGCTTCTTGTTGAGACTGCGCCCGAAGACGTACAGCTTCTCCAACGCCACATCGGTGAAGGTAATCAACTGTGAGATGTATCCATAGAGCCGAATATAACTCTGTAAGGTAGAACGAAACGCCTCCCTGTCATCTGTTTCAAGTGCTGACCACCTCTCGACAACGCCATCGAGGAGACCCTGTAGCAATTCGTCCGGTTGACTCGATTCGTAAAAGATCCGGCAGAATTGGTCGATAGTCCCCGCATCATAGAGGTCAAAACCCTCTAACTGACGCTGTAGGTCATACAGCCGATTCGGGTCGGTCTCCGCCGCGAGCGTCGTGGTCTGATAGTATTGCTGAAACGCTTCTTGTACCTGATCCGGTTCATTGACAAAATCGAGTACCAGCGTATCCGTCTTACCGGTGGCGACGCGGTTCAGGCGACTCAAGGTCTGGACACACTGAAGCCCGTCCAGCCGCTTATCGACGTACATCGTCTGTAGCATCGGTTCATCGAAACCCGTCTGGAACTTGTTCGCGACAATCAGAATCCGATACTCAGGACTCTTGAAACTGTCCGCAATCGAAGCACTCGGCGATAAACCGTTCATGCCGTTTTCAGTGTAGTTCTGCCCGTTGTCGGTATCGTGGACGGTGCCGCTGAACGCCACCAAACACCCGTAGGGTAGTTCATTTTCCGCATCTGCTTATCAATTCCAGCTTGTATGACGCAGGTGCAGTCGGGAGGACGTGACTAACATCGCCCGTCCCTTCCCTTCGATCGTCTTGCGGTCCGTTCGTGAAGTGTTCCAAGATAATCCGGGTCTTGGTTTCAATGCTGTGGGGTTGCAGGTCAACGTAATTGGTCAGTGCCCGCAATGTCCGCGCCTTCTCGTACTCTTTATCCTCCGGCACACTTTTGACCAGTTCAAAATACCTCTTAAAGGTGGTGTAGTTCTGCAGCACGTCGAGCGTGAAGCCTTCGCTGATACTCTGGCGCATGGAATAGACGTGGAACGGGACAAATTCTCCGTCTGCACCCTTCCGTCCGAAGAGTTCTAAGGTCTTGTTTTTCGGTGTGCCGCTGAAACCGAAATAGGAGATATGATCCTGCATGCTGCGCTGTTCCATCTCCTCAATAATCCGAGCGTCTATATCCGATACTTCGTCGGCATCATCTTCTTCTACGCCTTCCTCAATCCCTCCTGAGAGGGAGGCTCTGAGGTTCCGTGCAGATTCACCGCTCTGCGAGGAGTGTGCTTCGTCAATAATCACGGCGAAGGTCTTGCCTTTAAGTTTGCCAATCTCCTCGGCAATCACACTGAATTTCTGAATCGTCGAGATAATGATGTCTTTGCCGGATTCGAGGAAACCTCTGAGTTGTGCCGAAGTCTTCTCAACGGCATGAACCACGCCTTCGACTTGTGCTACCTGCTTGATTGTGTCCTGAAGCTGCTTGTCAAGCAAGCGCCGGTCGGTCACGACGATGACGGAGTCGAAGATCCGATTTGTATCGGTCAGAGAACGGTACAGATGCGTCAGCAGGTGCGCCAACCATGCGATGGAGTTCGATTTGCCGCTCCCAGTGGTGTGTTGGATGAGGTAGGTGTGCCCGACATCTTCCGCTACAATAGCCGCTTCCAATTTACGAATTACGTCAAGCTGATGGTATCGCGGAAAAACGAGCACGCGGTGCTTCTCATCTTTCACCGCATCAATTTTGGGATCGTAGACCTTTTCTGTGGTCTCCTGCTCATGGATAAAGTTGTTGATTAACTCCATCAGGTTATGGGACCGTAGGATGTCCTCCCACAAGGTAGCCGGTCTTGTGACCCTCCGGATTCACCGGGTTTTCGATGTCCTTGTTGAACGGAAAGAAGCGTGTCCCGCCCCCTTGCAAGTGGGTTGTCATTGAAACCTTCTCGTTGCCCACCGCAAAGTGTACCAGACACCGCTTGAATTGGAACAACGGTTCCCTCGGATCCCGATCTGTCCGATACTGTTTCTCCGCATCTGTCACCACCTGACCGGTGAGGCTGTTCTTCAGTTCCATCGTTATAAGCGGCAACCCGTTGAGGAACAACGTCATATCGAGCGATTTTTCGTCCCGCTGTGAGTAATGCAGTTGTCGAATTAGGGAGAATCGGTTCTGAGCGTAGAGTCGTTGATGGTCGGGGTTCATACACTTGACGGACGGAAGTAGGTCAGCTCAAAACTCACACCCTATCTTAACCCATTCCGCCGACACTCCAGACACCCACGCCGCTCAATCTGTTTGCTCACACGGTCAAGGAGTTTAACGGGTGTATCCGCGCCGTACTGACGTTCCAGTCTCTGATATTCATTCGGTTGTGTCTCCTGAATAAACTGCAGCACCTCATCGGATATTAGGCAGAAGAATTTATCATAGATGGCAGATTGTCGCGACTGGTAGCCTGACCGATTAAGGTGTTGTTCGATGTGGTCCTCAAAATTTTGTTCTGTATACCTCGGCACGGTCTACACCTCGTTTCGGACATCTATCTTGCCGGTCACTGCTTCGGAGATAGGGATTGACGGTATTCTTTGAGGAGTTCGATCTTTCGCTGTTCCGCGGCTATCAGTTCGTTAATCTGTTCGGTTTTGCGGTCGAGGAAGTTGGCGATTTGGGTTCGTTTGGGTATTTTACCACCTTAAAACCCCTTATCAGAGAGACTTTCAGGAGAGCATGCGTATCTATCTCATCTAAACTTTCTGCCGTCATCGCTTGCTCTAAGAGAATATCCAGGCGCGTGTGGTTGTGGATATTGCTGATTTCGCGGGAGAGCGTTTCTGGCACGTGTTGAAATCGGAGCTGTAGGAGCTTGAGGACTGCGTCTTGTTTACCTTCTGCTTTACCTTCTGCTTTACCTCTGCTTTACCTCTGCTTTACCTTGTTCAACCCCAAGTTGCATACCTTGTTCTATGAGAAACTCAGCCGTTGTCTGTGCCATGTTTTCTAACTCCTTATGATCGTGAATCACAAGTATAGCATAGGAACAACCGAAAATTCAGCGATATTTATCGCACGCCGCTCAGAAAATAAAAAAATAGGATCTCACCGTTTTCGTTCGGCTCTATATCTTTGCCGGTCACTGCTTCGGAGATGAGGGATTGACGGTATTCTTTAAGAAGTTCGATCTTTCGCTGCTCTGCGGATACCAGTTCATCAATCTGCTTGGTTTTGTGGTCAAGGAAGCTGGCGATTTGCGCTTGTTCAAGGGGAGGTGGGATGATAACAGTAATGTTCATGAGGTGATCACTCGTTAATTTTGGCTGTCAGACCAGCTGCACTGGGCATAATATAGTGGTATAGTCCAATTTTTACGACTGAGCATATGTAGAGAAGATAGTAAAACTAATATTGCAAAACGATGCTTTGTGCTGAGGACGTGAGCATGATTATTGACAGTATAAACTCGTCGATGCCGTTAAATGCCAGCTGGCGGTTCGATACACTAAGAAACAACAAACAACAGAGAAGAACAAGAGAAACCAAACACGTAATGTGAAGAGTGCACCATCTTCACCAATCAAAATGAGAGGCTCATCAAAAATGATAATGGTCGACTTTATCCTCGATAACCAGAGTGCCCGTTTTTGAGTTGAGAATCAGATAGCCTTAATTCATGTCGAATACGTCCATCGAGTAATGAACTCGCTCATGGACACGAAATACACACGTGTATCTCTTTAAGGACGAGCCGTTTTGATTCGTTTGTGGAGGGATTACCAAACGCACTGATACTTTCACTGGCAGCACCGGTATCGCTCCCTCATCCACGCTACTACCGCGCGAGGTTTGTTCATTCCACATCTCGGGTCCAGTCCCTTCGTCACAGCTGATTTAATCAGCGCGGTGCGTGTGCTTGCAGCAGCAGTTCTATCGCGTCGTTCTGTTGCGGCGGATGAGCGCATCAATCTGGTCGGTCTTGCGGGTCGAGGAAGTTGACGATTTGGGTTTGTTCTCGGATGAAGGGAGCGAATTTCAAGATGGATCTTTTGACGCGTTCACCCATTTCCAATAGTCATTGAACACGTGTGTCAATGTTTCGTGCATGTTCAAAGTATCGCCCGTGGATATAGAATGCAGTATACAATATGAAACAGTGACTGAGATAGCACAGGTCACAAAGAGTGCAATATCGAGACTAAAGAGTGCGCATAAGTACTAGTCATTTCACCGAGATTGAGTAAGCACACCAGTATTCTGTGCGAGATCCACTTGTTGAGATAGACACGAATTTTGGTGTTTGACGAGCTACATCCCCATCTTCGACATACATCACGACGCAAGATCATAGGAACTGTAACAATCGAGGACTGCTGCCCGGTTTCATCCGATTCAACTATTGTCAGTGCTGATGACCTTATTTCATGTTCAACATAGAGCTCGGAGTAGATATGTTCACCGTACTGCAACAGGGACTACACGATTCTATGTTGAAGTCGAGATTTTCTCCAGGTGCTCCGGTATCTTCCCAATCCACTCCACACCACTCTCTTTATATTCAGGATAATGTCCTGAATCGCGGATTTCGCGGATGTATGCGGATTTTGTTAGCGTCCATCTCAATTCACTTCATGTCTGAATCACGGATTTTGTTACCGCCCATTCAAGTTCACTTTCACGAACATAATTTCAATACGGAGTAGCGGCTTGCGTTGTGATAGAATCGTCTCTTATATTTTACTAAGTTGGACAATTTCAGTATTTTTCTTAGAGATACAGCATACCTTTCAGGACACATAGCACTCCGCTGGAGTGCGGGAGGTCAATATACCGTTTTCTATAGACTAGCACTCCGCTGGAGTGCGGGAGGGTCGATATCTGTTTCTATTCTCACTGCGAAGCATACCACTCCGTATGAAGATTAAGAATTTAATCGGGTAACACCGACTTTCCCCAGACCCGGTAGGTGCGGTATTTTTCTCAGAGTTCCGTGAGTGTTTGCAACCCTCGGAAAAACACACACGCCTTTGAAAACTCAACTCACATGCAACACGAATTGTCCAAACTTTAGTATATTTTAAACTTTTCTCACCGAAATTGATTAATAAGGCGACCTCTAATCGATACGCTTGTCTTGTATATTACGTGCATTATGGTACTCCAATTTACCCAAAATGTCAAGGAACTCTGAAAAATCAAAAACGCTTGGCACGCTGAACGATAGGAGAAAGCGTTACAATTTTTAGCAAAGTGGGTTAAGTCCTTCATGAAGGGGAACTTAACCGAAAAAAGCACGGATGCAAGTTCCGTGCTCCTAATTGTCTGCTATGTGAGACTAACAGACATGCTATTCCATCTGTTAAATCACGAAATGCCAAAAACAAATGATCTATGCGGGCGTTTGTGATTGTGGGAAATGGTTTGGTTTCTACTATTCCTTATGTCTCTTTATTTTTACTTTATGAGCATGAGATTTCGCGGTTCATAATCGAAAAGGGCTCCCAGTAGAGTCCATACGGTTTCAAGCGGATATGAAAAACGGCTCAAACCAAGTTATTACTGATTCAAGCCGATTTAAAAATGTCCGATATTTGCGCTTATCGGGCGTTTTTGATGCTTCCCATGTGGTTGTGAGCTTGGCTTTAGGGTCTACGGCGGTAAGATTAGCATCGCCGAAGTACTCAATTTCGGCCAATTTTGAAAGTACGCCCCAGCCGGGTTCGATGCGGTGTCAAAAGTAACATGCCGAAAAAACGATACCCGGTGGTTTGACTTCAAATCTTCCCCTGCCTCAAAAAGGACGACTTGCAGTCGCTCATCCCAAAAGCCATCCCCGTCGTGAGCAAGATGGTCGTACAACTCCTCGCCGTCATTCGACCCCTGAACCTCCCACACCTGTAGGGTCCCTCGCAGGAACATCGTTCGCTGAAGATAAGGTGAAGTGGGTCAATGCGTACGGCTCCTCAAACTCAGCTGTCACGTGTAGACCTTCATCCGGAATGCCGCCCCCACGTCCGCAGCACCATTTGTCATTGCTGGGGGCCAAGGCGTTATCGAAGAACGCGTTAAACGAAAACTCCCCGCCCGCGAATCCGGGTTCCTCGTTGGCTGAAAGGAAAATGGCGTTGTAACCTTCATCTGATTCAGGATCACCATCGTCTTCTGGGTCGGTTAGGTCTCCTCCTAACAGTGAATCTGTTCCTGTTCCAAGACTTCCTCCGCCTGTGCCATGTCGCTCGTGCTGATAACACATAGGCTATCATACTTCTCGTTGGTAGTAATCATCAATGTCCTCTGTGAGGGGCACGCGCTCATGGTCTCGCAGCTTGGTATCCGGTTTCGGATTCCCCTGCTTGTCCGTGACAACGAATTCCTTTTCCTCTCCGAGAATCTCCTGCCTTTCGATGAGCGGTCTCTCAATCGTTACTTTTGTATAGCCGAAAAAGTGGTTTGGATAGATTTTGGAGTGTTCGGTTTCTTCAAAGTTGGTGTAGAGTTCCGCTATTTGATGGATATGGGTATCGGAGATAAAAACACTCTTGTTTCCGAGATTCCTTTTCATTTTATCAAAGAAGTCAACGGCGTTAATCAGTTGTATTTTACCCTGTCGTGCCTCCGATTTTTGATTTGTTAAGATCCAGATATAGGTACCGATACTGGTGTTGAAGAATAACTTATCAGGCAGCGCGATGATACACTCCAGCCAATCGTTTTCGATAATCCAACGTCGGATTTCACTCTCACCGCTGCCGGCATCACCTGTAAAAAGCGGCGACCCGTTAAAGACGATTCCAACCCGACTCCCGTTGTCCTCCATCTTGGAGAGCATGTGTTGTAGGAACAGTAACGCCCCATCGGAGGAGCGAGGCGTACCGGCTGAGAATCTGCCGTTGGCGTTCTGCGCTTCCGTTTTCACTGCCCCTTCGTCAGATTTCCAACTGACACCGAAGGGTGGATTTGTTATCATATAGTCGAAACGTTGCCCCTGAAATTGGTCATCGGAGAGACTGGAGCCGTGTCGAATATTATCGGGGTCCTCCCCCGTAATGAGCATATCCGACTTGCAGATTGCGTAGGTCTGTGCGTTGAGTTCTTGACCTAACAGCCGAATACCTGCATCCGGATTGATCTGTTCGCGGAAGTATTCCTTTCCAATCGTCAACATGCCACCCGTTCCGCAGCACGGATCGAAGATACTGCGGATAACCCCTTGTCCGCTTAGATCTTCACTGTGTTCCGCAAATAGCAAGGAGACCAATAAGCGTACGACATCCCGCGGTGTGTAGTGTTCCCCACTGGTTTCGTTGGACATCTCCGAGAACCGGCGGAGCAGTTCCTCAAAGACCTGTCCCATCGTGTGGTTGTCTACCTGATCCGGGTGGAGATCGACTTCGGTGAATTTATCGCAGAAGATGAACAGTCGGTTGTTTTTGTGTAGCCGTTCGATAAACCCATCAAGATTGAAGTTTTCGATGATGTCGCGCACGTCCTTACTGAATCCGCCGATGTAGTTCTCAAAGTTGAGATGGATATTGTGCGGGTCCTCTTTCAGTCGAGATAGGTCGTACTGGGAGGTGTTGTAGAAACGGGTACCTGTCTGTTTCAGAATAATCGGTGGTAGCGCGTCTTCGGGTACTTTGTCCTTTAAACTGATTGTAGGTATTGATGGCTTTCTCTTTTCGTCCGTCCTCGTCTAAGAGGCAGTCCAACCGGCGCAGCACCAGAAATGGGAGGGTGATGTCGCCGTATTCGTGCGGTTTGAAAAGTCCTCTGAGCACATCATCGGCTACATTCCAAACGAGATTTGCGAGTTCTTGATAATTTGCCATGCGTTTCCTTTTCTTTGTAATACTATCAATGGGTTAAAATGATAACAGATTTCAACGAAAAAATCAAGTTGAAGAAGTCGCGAATCCAGGGTCATTTAGTTTTAAACAAATTCTCGGATTGTCTAAATTTTTGGATCCTCTTTTTCAAGTCCGGCGCGGTTCCAAACCGCGCCTACCGGGCCTGGGGGGTCCAAAATCGGGCTAAAAACCGAAAACTAAATAGCCCTGGTCGCGAATCGGAGCGTGCTTCTACGGGAGAACTAAATGACCCTGACCCTGAAAACCGAACTCCTTGACGAAAAACCTTTCTTTGTGTATAATGCAGAATTAATATGGCACAAGGTATCTTTATTACAGGTACAGGGACAGAAATTGGGAAAACGGTGATCGCTGGCGGTCTCGCTGCTTCCCTCAAACAGGCAGGGACAGACGTAGGCGTGATGAAACCGATTAGCACTGGCGATACTGCCGATGCGCGGTTTCTCAAGCATGCTGCGCAAGTTGACGATGAACTTTCGCTGATTAACCCTATCTATCTTCGGCATCCTTAGCACCGTCTGTCGCGGCAAGGATAGAAGGCAGAGAAATAGAGTTGTCCCGCATTGAGACTGCTTTCGCTGAACTCCAACAGAAATACGATTTTGTGATAGTGGAGGGTGTCGGCGGGATTGCAGTGCCAATCCGAGACGATTTTCTCGTTGTTCAGCTCATCCAGCAACTACAACTACCGATACTCATTGTCGCCACTGCGGGTTTAGGAACGCTAAACCACACACTCTTAACAGTCGCATTCGCGCAACAGTTTAACATCCAAATCGCGGGTATTGTCCTCAATGGGCTCCGTTCAGAGAGTGCAGGACTCGCTGAAGCAACAAATCCAGTCGAAATCGAAAAGTTGACAGGCATCCCGGTAATTGGTGTTGTTCCATACCAGAAACAGCTGGACACACCTTATCCAGATGTAACATTTTTGGCAGAATTTACGAACCAACACGTAGCATGGAGGAAATTAGGAATACCCTAAGATGGATACCGCTATTGTTCTCGCCGCAGGATTAGGACGTAAGGTATGGCCTTATGGTGAATTTCGACAGAAATGCACAATCCCCGTCGCCAATAAGCCGATCGTTCGCCGAGTTGTGGAAAATTTGATTGAGGCAGGGTGTCAGCGAATTGTGGTGGTGGTGGGGCATCATGCGCAACAGGTCCGCGGTGCCCTTGCCGATATACCCAACATTGTCTTCGTCACACAGCACTCTCTGGACGGAACTGCAAGCGCGGTGTTGACAGCCTCAGAGCATCTTGAAGATCAATCCTATCTCGTCGTTTACGGTGATATCGTAACCACCCCTGAGAATCTCCGTAACTTCATTCAAGAATTCCGATCACACAAACGTAGAAGCCGCAGCACTCGTGCAACCGCTCGGTAATGAAGACGCAAGCGACTGGCTTTGCGCGGGTATCGGGACAGAGGATGTCGAAAACAAGAGTGTTTTAAAACTTAACGGTATTGAGGGACATCCGCGCGGCGGCTCACATCGGCTTTGTGGCGTATACGCTTTTAAGAGTCGCGCGACAACCTACCTCTTAAGGAACCCCGGCATCGTTACACGGGTACCCGTAGGCGGAATGCCGCCACCTGAATCCGAAATCGCGCAATCTTTACAACTGATGGTAGACGACGGAAGGACTGTATTGGCGGTTCAGACAGAGGACTTCTTCGTCGATGTCGATAAGCCGTGGCACGTGCTGGAAGCGAACAAGCGGTTCGTTGATTATCTTACAACACAGGTCACAGAGGACCACGTCGCGGCAGGTGCGAAAATCTCGGATGCCGCTGAAATCAACGGACACGTTGTGTTGGGAAAAAACTCCGTGATTGGACCCCGCGTCGTCGTCAACGGTACCCTTATCGCAGGCGCGAATAACAATATCACAAACGGCGCGATTTTACACGGAAATATCTTCGTCGGAGACCAGTGTAGAATCAGCGATTATTGCGATGTCGGTAGCAGTGCAATCGGAACCGGTGTATCATTGGGCACGGTGCTGAGATGGCAGGTGTCCTGTTCGATAAGGTCTATCTGTACCATTACTGTGAAATGTCCGGTGTTTTCGGATGCGCGACCGATATTGGTGCAGCGACGGTATGCGGAACACTTCGATTTGATGATAAGGATACCCCGATACAGGTAGAAGGACGTTACGAAGTTCCGCCCTATGGTGCGAATGCGACTTACATGGGTGACTATTGCCGCACTGGGGTGAATGCGATGATTATGCCGGGGAGGCGTATCGGGTCTTATAGTGTTGTTGGGCCGGGGGTTATTTTATACGACGATGTACCGAGCAAAACTATGGTGATGGTGAAACAGGAATTAATTACCAAACCGTGGGGACCGGAACGTTATGGCTGGTAAACGCGTAAATCGGGCTTACAAGGTTTCCCTCCCACAATTTATGAGATAGGTTGTAGTGTGTTCTTCAGACTTCATCAACTTGAAAGGAGTTCCTTGAGCAGATTCGTCAATTCGTCATTGCCAGCAGCGAGTTCATACACGCGTTTAATCTTGTCTTCACGGGCAGTCTCAGATTCGGGTGTGCTATCTGGAGACCAGAGCACCTCAAGTGCTTTCGGGTTGAGTCGGTCGTAAGTAACTTTGACAAGCGTGAAAGGATAATTCTCAGGGATAATGAGGATCCAATCAATAGTTTCACCGCGGGCGGAGTACTGTCTATCTACGATTAGTTTTGAATCTTGATGCGGTACGTTCTTTTTAACCCACTGCTTGCGATCAAGAGCATCTGTTTCAAAATGACCGACTTCTAACCAATTCCGTCCTGCACCGTTCGGTTTGGTAGTAACTTCAATGCGTTGCATGGCTGTTTGTTCTCCGTTCTGTGTTTAGATTTTGCTCGCAGCTTGTGCGAATAGATATGCAAGTGCTCGTAAAAGATTCTAACACGCTGAACCCAAAAAGTCAAGTGTTTGAATTATGAAGGAGAGCGGTACTCAGTTTTCAGTTATCGGTTGTCAGTTTCCGTAGGTTGGGTAGAACGGCGTTGAGAAGGCAGACATCGGTGTTCCAAACATACTTCAAATCCGACATGATGCCCTATACACTGAAAAAACCGAGTGAAACCAACTTCATCCGCTCAGAGTTGCTGGCACTTGAGAACAAAAGCGTTGGGTTTCACTCCGTCTCTACTTGATGTGGCGTGTATGGAAAAAACATCGTTTTTCTGTGATTTTTACGGTTTTGGTGGCATCCGTTCTACCCAACGGACGATGCGCTGAGGCAGTTTTTCTTGAATTGACGCTTATGGGGAACGCATCTCGACAGGGCTATTTAGTTTTCGGTTTTAATTTTGGTTTTCGTTTACAGATGTTGACGTTTTTCCGCAATATCGCGAGCACAGCTCGCTCCTACAGAGGAAAAAACACACACATATATAAAGTAAATATGTACAACTAAATGCCCCTGATCTCGACTCTAACGCTTGACAAAATATTTACACACCCGCATAAACTGTTAATTGGCACTACAATTTATGTTTCTGACACGCAAAAATAGCACCTTTAGCGCGCACGAAATGTTTCGACAGATTAGAATTGATCTCCGAAACAAGAAAAAAGTAGATAAAATGTGGCTAATATGATTTTAAAAGTAAATAAATTTGCATTTTTTCTGAAAAAAGAGTATAATTGTAGGAGGGGATAGTATTTTCGCGCATCAACGTGCTAATTTTTTCATTTTATGGAGTTAAGCTGAAGGGATGAGTTCGACATGATAGTGGAAATGAGATATGGAGCCGGTACCTTACCGATCGAGATCCCTGATAAGAACGTTGCCAGCGTTCTTGAAATCTCGGAAAGTGTTCCGCTGTCGGATGAAGATGGTGCTGTTCGAGAGGCGATTGCGCGACCGATTGCTTCACCACCTTTGGCTGAGATTGCAAAGGGTCGCGAGTCCGCATGTATTGTTATCTCTGATGTGACCCGTCCGGTGCCAAATAAGGTAATTCTCCCGCCAATGTTGGAAACGCTCGAACGAGCAGGTATCCCACGCGAAAAGATTACTATCCTCATCGCGACCGGTATCCACCGTCCTAATGAAGGGGCCGAACTCGAACAGATGGTTGGACGCGACATTATAGATACATACCGTATCGTCAACCATTTTTCGCAGAAACCAGAGCACCACGAATATTTAGGCGAGACGCAAAATGGCACACCTGTTCACATTGATAAAACCTACCTCGAATCGGACCTGAAGATCGCGACGGGATTGATTGAACCGCACCTGATGGCTGGATATTCTGGCGGCAGGAAGGCAATCTGTCCAGGGATTGCCTCTGTTGAGACAATGAAGGTGATGCACGGGCCCGAGCTCATGGAACATCCGAAGTCGAGCAGTTGGTATCTTAGAGGGCAATCCGTTTCACATAGAAGCGACTGAAATCGCTCTGATGGCTGGTGTTGATTTCAACCTGAACGTTGCGATCGACAAACAGCGTCAAATTACCGGCGTGTTCGCAGGCGATATGGTTGAATCCCATCGTGTTGGTGCCCAATTTGTGGAAAAACAGGCAAAGGTTACGCTATCTGCACCAGCGGATGCGGTTGTCGTCTCCAGTGCGGGCTACCCTCTGGACACGACCTTTTACCAAGCGATCAAAGGCTTGCTTACGGCTGTTGAAATAGTGAGGCAGGGTGGTAGTATCTTGCTTGTTGCGGCGTGCAGTGAGGGGATCGGCAGCAAACCGTTTACCGACCTAATTTTCAAGACTGATGATTTAACCGCGTTTGTGCAAGGACTTTACAACCCAGCAAACTTTGTTATTGATCAGTGGCAACTTGAAGAATTAGCGAAGGTTGCCCGGAAGGCAGATATTTATTTCTATACCGATGGAATCCCTTACCATCAACGGGCAAAACTCTTCGTGCATCCGTTGAAAAGCGCGCAGGAAGGCATTGAAGAACTTTTAACCCGCTACGGGGAAGATGTTCAAATTGCTGTGATTCCTGAAGGTCCTTACGTTTTAGCGCAGTTGGAAAGGGCTTAATACCAACGGCAAATAGCAACGAAAATCTCGCCTCCGAGGAAAATCCTAAGTAATATTGAAGTTGATAATTAATAACAAAATGGCAAATCCTACTGTGGTACTCAGAGCATATAGGGATGGTTTACACCTGATCATCAGGCCCCATCTATCTATAACGGAAGTTGAAGCTGCGATTCAGCAGGAAATATCGCGTATGAATCGATCTTTTGCTGGGGCATCGGTGCAAATTGATCTTAAGTCTCCAACCTTGAAAGAGGAGGAGCTCGCGCTCCTAAGCTCGACACTCAAGGAAACCTACGATCTCACAGTGCGTGGTATCGAAGTCGCTGATGAACCGGTCACGCCACCGATTGCTGCCGCACCAACGACGCATGTGATATCACAAACGACGGATATCCGTAACCATCGCGATAGTGAACCGTCTCGGATTGCCCCGTACACAATTCGTTCTGGGCAAACAGAGGAATTTCCACAAGGGAGTCTTATTATTTATGGCGATGTCAACTCAGGTAGTGAAGTAAAAGCCGGCGGGGATATCGTTGTGCTCGGCACACTGCGTGGAAGTGCTTATGCCGGAATGAATGGTAGGTTATCGGCTGTGATTATCGCGATGGATTTTGCGCCGTTACAACTTCAGATAGGAAACTATGTAAACCGTCCACTGGCGAGTCAGAAACCCCGAGGTCACCCAGAGATTGCGCGCATCGGGGCAGAAGATGTGATTATTGTTGAAAAATTTGTTAAGTTTTAGCAAAGGAGGCTCCGGTTATGGGAAAAGTAATCGTAGTGACATCAGGAAAGGGAGGTGTCGGAAAAACAACCTCTACAGCGAATTTAGGGACAGCACTTGCCCTCCTCGGTAAAACCGTCGCAGTTGTTGATGCAGATGTCGGGCTTCGGAATCTCGATATCGTGATGGGGCTTGAGAGCCGGATTGTTTATACCTCAATGGATGTCATCGAAAAACAGTGTGAACTTAGTAAAGCACTCGTTAGAGATCGGCGTGTTGACGGGCTGATGCTGCTCGCAGCCTCACAGAAAAACAACAAAGACGATATCCAACCAGAACAGATGAAAGCCATCTATGACAAGCTGCGAACAACACACGATTTCGTTCTGGTTGACTCGCCCGCTGGCATTGAACGCGGTTTCAGCAATGCTTCCGCTGGTGCAGACGAAGCTATCGTTGTTACAACACCAGATGTTTCTGCTATTCGTGATGCTGACAGGATTATCGGGTTGTTGCAAAATGCAAGGGTTGAACCGATCAACCTTGTCTTAAATCGCTTCTCTCCACAACTTGTAGGAAATGGAAGCATGATGGATCAAGCGGACGTATTGGATATCCTCAATATTGACCTCATCGGCGTTGTTCCAGAAGACACGGGGATAATCACCTCTACAAATCGCGGGATTCCTCTCGTGTATGAAGATGCCTCACCTGGGGCTCAGGCGTATATGCGTATTGCCCGGCGACTGACTGGACAACGCATCCCGATTCATGATTTTGAGCAGAAAGGCGTATTCAATAATATCCTAAACTGGTTCACGAGAAAGAGATAAGGAGTTTTCTGATGAATATCAGCATAAAACAATTATTCGGGCGCAAATCGAAATCAAGCAGTATTGCGAAACAGCGCCTGAAACTGGTCATCACACAAGACAGGTTCGACGTTGATGACCGGGTTATGACAAGGTTACATCATGAGTTAGCAGAGGTACTGGCAAAGTACTTCGAATTTTCAGCCAACTCTGTGAAGATGGACTTGAAACAGGAGGGGAATTCCTACGTCCTTGTCGCAGATTTTCCTTATACGAAGTTCCACGAGACGAACATAAGACAATAATCGGTGAGCGAAAGATTTATGCACCTTGAAATCATATCCACGGACAATAAGGGTTTTCTGCATCAGAGAATCAATTCCCAAATCGCTTTTGCCACCCCGTTATCGTCATTTGTCGTCGTGATGAAGTCAGCACAAGCACGGATCGGCGGAACTGCGTTTTCCATGGCTATTCCGAAACCTGCTGTTTTGAGTAGACTCTCATCGTTATAACTATCGCCAAAAGCGACAACCGTATCCATCGGGATGTTGAACCGGTTGGCGAGAGCTGTCAGTGCGTGCCCCTTAGTAACTTCTGGATTCATAAATTCTATATATTCTGCTTGGGTCTGCGTAACATAAAGCTTCTCCGCGTAATTGGTTTGAAAACTCGTTAAGAGTGGTTGCAACTTTTCAGGCGTATGGATAATCAGCAGCTTCGTTGGCGTTTCGCCTGCTAATTCGCGTAGGTCTCCGATAGGCGTAGCAGGGACCCCTGTTCGTGTTTCATAAAGGTCGCTCCAAGCGTTGCGTTCGGCGACATAGAGCTCGTCGTTCAGACAGAAATTGAGATGTAATCCCTGCTCGATGCAGTCATTGACAACCGCCATCGCGTAATCTGCTGGCACAGGCGTGTGGTGATATACCTCGGCGGTTGTCGCATGACGTACCATGGCCCCCGTTGTAAGAGATAATCGGATTTTCGAGCCCGATCTGATCGCTAATCGGTTGGATAGAACGGTGCATCCTCCCCGATACTAATACCACGAGAATATCGTTCGCCGCGAGTGCCTGAAGTGCCTCGCGGTTTTTTGGTGACAATGTATGATCACTGCTTAGTAAGGTTCCATCCAAGTCGAACGCTGCTAAACCACACGGTATTTTCATTTTGTCGCCTTCCATCTATCTTATCCTCCATTTTTTTATAGTAAAGCCCATTATTACTTGGACATCAACGAAATGGCGGGGTTTTGCGGCGTACGCGCCCAAATGCGATCTGCATTCAAACCCCGCCAGCAAGGGAGAAGTTACTGTTCCCTAAAGTGTCAACTTATTTTTCGATTTTACTATAAAACGTGAGTTCGACTAAACAGAACAGATGCGTTCACGGTTCATCAGAGGTATGAAATCACTCATACACAAGTCAAACTCATCGCATTCTCACACTTTCAGCGTTGGAAACCTGTTGGGTTTGGCTATGTTTATCTTCAGGAATTGGTTATTGAAACGCTGAATCCTCTGTACAACTGAAGGCTTTTGGTCTTTTACCGCTCTACCTATAGGTGTCAATTTAGGGATATTTGACAATGTTTTAGCAACTGTAAATATAAACAGGTTTCCGCCCTTACAGGGAGACCGTGGGCTTTGTTTGAAAACGCTGCTATAAACATGTCGTCCCTCTGGGACTCAAGAGGGTTTTTGGGGTATACACAGTTTGTGTCTCAGACCCGGTTCGGTTAGGAATGCAGATCGCAAATGTAAAGCATTCTCACTGCGAAGCAAAATTGGGTTTCCGCGTATGGGAAACCAAATTTGGGCGTGTACGCCGCAAAACCGAACCATAGGTGTCAATTTAGGGGTACTCCAGGCCCGGTAGGTTCGGTTTCCTAACCGAACCGGGCTTAACCCAAGAACAGTAGGCTCCTTTGAGCAACGGAGACCCCTAACCTGAAAAACGCGTGCTTCTTCGGAAACCGACATGAGTGAAACCTCCAAGCCTGAAGCGTGGCAGTGTGGGGTCCATATCGGTCTGCATCACGATATTCATTTTCTCAGATACGCGCAGCGACGGGTTTTCGCGGATGTCCCGGTTCGGTTAGGAATGCAGATCGCATTTGGGTGCGTACACCGCAAAACCGAACCTACCGGGCCGAATGGATTTAGCCCATAACTTTTTCTTAAATTTACACCTATGGTTGACTCGCCAATGTTACCCAGATCCGGGTAAAGCATAGACACCTCGCCGCACCCTGACAACCTCACCAGTCTCCACAAGACGGGTGAGTTCGTGTTGTATCGCCTCTGGATGTCCGTCAATGGATGAAGTGAGTTCGGCTGTTTTTTTCTCACCATCGGTAAGAAGCGAGAGGATTTGCTGTCGGAAGGTCTGACGTTGGATATTCCCGCCTCTAAGCCTTTGCAACACGCGGTTCGCCTGTCTTTCGGAGCAACCCAAGACACGCTGAACTTCTTCTCTACTGGACTCAGCCGTTAGATTTTCACGTTCCCGCTCAAAGCGTTCGCGTATGGCTATTACCTCAGGAGTTCATCTAATCCACCGGCAATCTCAAAATCTTCCCAGTCAAAGATAGATGTTTCCGGTCTATCGGTAATGTTCGGAAGCGGCAATCCAGTGATCAATACAATCCGCCTATCTGTCAATCGATCCAACTCAGCCTGCACGATAATCGCTGTAAGGGAATAGACAGCGTCTTCCTCGTAAATACTTTGGAGCCGTGGGTCTTTGTAGGTTCCCGACTCTATTTCGTCTTCATAAGAGAGCGGTTTATCATCGTTTCCAAACAACATCTGGGCGCGCCGCCAAATAGCCTTTGTAGATCGTCGCGGCGTTCCGAGCATCCAAATGACATCTGCTGCTTCAGAAATAGTGTCTGACGTGCTGATCTTCTGGAAATCATCCACGAAACAGACATTCCTTTTCTTTGGAATATCGCCCAAATGTCTGGCAATATCTTTATTGGTTACAATCCCATGTTTAACGCCCAAATCCGCCTCGATTTCGGTGTGGATACCGCGAAAAAAACGTTGTCCTGTTTCGGAGACTTGTACATTACTCCAGTTGTGGTAGTCCAGAATGGTTTCTGATGGATAGATGCCTGTGCGCACCTGAAAGACTCGGTTGTCGGGACTCCATGGTATGGGTTCGGTCCAGTAGGTCTGAAGGTTTTCATCGGGGAAGACTCTGTGGAGATGTTGCTCTGAGAATACTGACGATACGAGCAAAAGGCGTTTGACGCTTGCATGCAGCACCGGTGGCACCCAAAACCGCAGAACTTCACCATCCCAGCGAATCGGTGCGTCGGTGTCTCGTGTGTAATGCGTAAAGAAACGCTTGAGTTGGTGCCAAAATGTCCAGTCTTGTACCCGACAGACGGTTGGAAACTCCTGAATGCTCTCTACAGTTTCTGTATCCAAGATACCTAACTCAATGGCTTGCATCATCGGCATCAGAACTTTTATGTCTTCATTAAGTGGAAGGGATTGGGAAAAGACGGGGAGTCCTTTTGCCTTGAGTATATCTGCGGTGCTATCGTCTAAAGGAATATAGGCAGCGGCACCGCCTTCAAATTCGATGGTAAAACGTGCCAATGTTTTTCCGGTATCAGGGTCAACGATCCCGCGCTCTATCACCCTGCCGTGTACTTTAACTTGACACATCTGCTGGATGAGTGTTTCCGCTTGCCATTCAAAGGTCTGCATCGCTGCACGTACCCCTTTGACGGCATCTCCATAAAGTTTGCCCTTAATATCCAAAGCACTCAGCAATGTTTTGGCGAAGTTCCCTAAGGCAAGCCCCTGCCAGTTAGTAGCCCATTCCTCCATAATGTTTTTTGAGAGTTTACATTTGAGGAATAACTTATGTGTGCGCTGTTGGTTGAGGACACAAAGTCGTTCGGTTTCATTTTCTGGTTTGAGAATTTGTTCTACCAATTCGGTATATTGGGGATCAAAAAATAGTTGGGGAATTGTCAACATTTGTACTTTCGCGCGTCGTAATGCCTCAAATTGGGATAAGTATCCACGCTGCTGACATTCGGCATAGACGGGGCACTGCGGACAGATACTTTCATTCGGATTCCCACCTTTTTCTTCAAACGCGGCACAGCGTTCTGGGTCTTCACAGACATTGCCATGTTGGAAGGGTGTTTTCATACGTACATCAGTGGGTATGTCTTTCACCTGTTCCCAGAGGTGTGTTCGCGGTTTCCAGTAAACCACCGATGGCATATTCTGTTCTCGAAAGTGTTTTTCCGCGCTTTCTGCGAATTTAACCTCTGGCGTATTTACGGAAATTATACCACCGCTGAGGAAATAGGATTCTTCTGCCTGTTGGTCCCAGGGACCTATCCCTGTAATAACACCAAGAATACGTACGCCTCGGTCGAAAACGCTTTCTATCTGAAACACATCCCTTTGGAGTATCTCATCGTTTTCGGTATTATCATGTTGTCCTAACACCGGAGGCGGACGTTTTATCGCCAACGGGCTAAGTTCATCTTCTCGCACCTGCTTCACTTTCACGGGGCCAGGGACCCTTGTAGCATCTATCAGGGACGGAATACCTGTATCGTCCCACACATCTGTGATTGGCGTTGGCTGCGTCGGCAGCCCGGTGTCAGGTGTAAATGCGCGGACCCATACGACACCATCGCTTTCCGATAGTAGGACATCTTCATGCCAACAGTGCCTTCAGGTTGCGTCCAGTGGTGAGAAGCCATCCTCTTGTCGGACATAAGAAAATCCACGCTGTAGGAACGCTTCTCTTGCGAGATCAAGGTTCTCTGAACCGAGAGATAGGGGCAGACGGGTGACAATTTGTTTTGCTTCTGTGTTATCGGAGGCGGGTTCGTGAAGTTTCGCACGGAGGGCATCAATAGGGGCAAAGAGGACTTCTTTGGCAACAACGGGTGGAGTTAAGAGGTTTCCAATGAGAATCTCATAGCGTGCATCCCAGCGTGTGTGCCCTTCTTCGCCAAATATTTCGAGATACACGTCACGTTGATACGTGTTTTCTGGCATCGGGGTGTCTTTATAGATATACAACTTCGCTGCTTCGGTATTCGGGTGGAGATAATCCTGGACTCTGCAGGAGAAGCGGAGTCCGCCCGACTTCCCTAATGTTAAAAGCGGGTTGTTAACAATATTGATAAGTGCCTCAATACAAGTGATAACGGCATCTGGTGCAGCACAGATTGCCTCATACTTGAAGTGCAAATCGTGCCATCGCGCGCCATCGCGTTCGGAAGGAATACCTGTATGCAGCTGAATACCCCACGAGGCATCCCATCGTTTAATTCCCCAATCCGTTATGCCTTGGCGTTTCAAGAACCGTTCGCCCCTAAAATCTCCGGGACCCCGATCGTGCCAAGGGGCGCGTCCCATAGGCATGAAAGAGATATGTGCTTGCTCCAAGTCGTGAAGCATCGCAGGGTAGCGGTGCGCACAGTAAACCGTGTACTGGTGCGGGTGATCCTTGGTATACATCGCAGGTGTTGCGACTGTCTTGCGTTGTCGAAGAGGCTTTTCGTGCCGTTCATGACAGCGCTGAACAATATCTTTCAGAGAATTCATTGCCATTGATAGCCTCCTAAACTAAATTGCAGAATCTATCCTCGGACTGGTAGGATCTACTATTAATAAAGGTTACCTTGTTTGAACAAATGAGTTTTGTGTCTTCTCCTCCGGAGATTGATGTACTAAACCTTACCAAATGGGCATTTTTAGGATAACTCTTACTTGCGATTAGAAAAACCAATATGGAAGCCTAAATTTCTACCAGACCAGAACTTTCGGTATCGATATGGTGCGTTCACTTATTAGAATTTACGCAGACAGGCGATTAAGGGTTCCTTACGGCAGACACTATCTCTTGTAAATCCCCCTGTTTCTCAAAAAAGGTTCGGTTCGTAGTCGCGCAATTCTGCGGCGTACTCGCCCAAATGCGACGTGCATTATTGCGTGTTGTGTAAGTCTTACTTATATTATATCAAAAGTCGCCTTCTTAATTCAAATTTTTCAGAAAAAAAAAGGGATTTGATATGATTTTCTGAGTTTAACAGGCGTTTCTTGTGCGAATTAAGCAATTTTCTGCAAATTTAATTTGACTTATCAATCGGGACAGAGTATAATTTACTGATATTAGGACGATTAATTACAAATTACATAAATATTTGAAATTGTCCTAATATCATTTTTTTGATAGGGTGCGATGAGGCACGCGTTGGAGATACGCTGTCTCAAATTGAACATTGGGTGCAGTGCCGATAGCACCGCTTGGACTCAGTGAGCAGGAACAGAGCGATTTGCTCGAATTTTTAAAGACTTTGACAGGTGAAATGCCACCCGATCATTTGCTATCAAAGCCTCTAAAACAACCTAATCGGATGCCCGTGAAGGTTGATGACAAATAACCCCGAAACTTTGGATTTAGTGTAGAAGTTAGACAACCGTAGCGGTGCCTTCTTCAATAGACCCATTTTTTGTGTAAACAATCCTCGGTTACAACTATGGTGAATTATAAAAATAAGTAGCCACTTACCAATAGTTCCGTCTCTTCGCGAAGCCTCCAAAGTCCCTACCCCTGATAGGGGGATGTGGGGCGTTGGGGATTAGGGGGTAGGGGCTTTAGGGGTTAATCCCCTACCCCCTTGATAAGGGAAGATATCGGGGTGAGGATTTAGGCGGTTGCCTATGCATTGGGCGTGTCTAAGTCATTCTAAAATCTACCATATACCGACCTATCTACGTCTACAAGGAGTTGAGATTGAAAAGATTTTGCATTTTTTTTGTTGCTTTTATTGTTCTCGCATCCATAAATGGGTGTGACGGTAGGATTAAATTTCCGCAGCTAATAATACCCCAAGACGATAATGTCGAACCCCCACTTGGTAATTTCGAGACCCCTTTTGAGATGCTACCTTCTGATCTGAGTGCCACATTCGCACGAGGTGAAGAGGCATTTATGAAGGTCTTTACAGTAGAAGAAGGACTGGGTCCCATTTTTAATCAGGCGGGTTGTGTCAGTTGCCACCCCGGCAAATGGTCGCGGTATGCCTGACTTAGCACTTATCCGATTTAGTAACGGACATAACCTTCTCACGGACATGGGTGGACCTCAGCTGCAGGACAAAGCTTTACCCGGTATCCCTTACGAAACGCTTCCGGCAGGGTGTTGACAAATCGACGCGGCTCCCGACCACCGGTTTTCGGGAGTGGGACTTATCGAAAATATTCCTGTTGAAACCATATTATCCTACGCCGATGAAGACGATGCCGATGGTGATGGTATTTCCGGTAGACCGCACTGGGTAACCGCCCCCGATTTTGTGCCGACTACGGAGATTGGCGGCGGCCTGGGCGAACAACTTGGCAGATTCGGACGGAAGGCATCCGTCTCGTCATTGGTCCAGCAAACTGCGACAGCATTCCAACAAGACATGGGCATTACCAGTGATTTTCTACAAGAGGAACCTTCCATCACCGGTGACACTGTTCCTGATCCAGAGGTTGAAAGATCAACTGTCATGGATATAGTGGTTTTCATGCGATTACTTTCACCGCCACCACGGGGTGAGATAACGGCAGCAGTTAAAAGGGGAGACACACTTTTTAACAAAATTGGGTGTGCTTCGTGCCATGTCCCAACGATGCAGACGGGGCCGTCTCCTATTGATGCTTTGAACGAGGTAGATGCCAACGTTTACTCTGACTTCCTTTTACATGATATGGGTGAGGAGTTAGCGGATAACCGTCCGGATGGCGACGCTACAGGGAGAGAATGGCGGACTCCGCCGCTTTGGGGAACTCGCTTGGTTGCCGAATTCTTGGGTGGTACACCGTTTTACCTTCATGATGGTCGTGCGACAATGCTTGAAGGTGCTATCCGGGCGCATAGCGGTGAAGGACAGAACGCAAAGGAAGCATTTTTCAATCTGTCTGAGGCACAACAACAGGCAGTTATCGCCTTCCTTGAATCACTTTAGCATTGACAGACAAGTAATACCAAATTAACTTGATTAGAAGTCTTTTGATCAAGTCAGCATTGCGAGGCACAGGGACCTCGCGCTACAAATGGGGTTAATTTGGTATAAGAGGTTTTAGTCGGAAGCGTGATAAAGCTGGCTAAAACAAGTTATCCAATAATTGGAGAAGCTCATTCACGATGTAAATGATCAGCGGCATTGGAGTCACATACTATGATAATCACCGTATCTGAGAAAAAAGAAGTCGTTATTTTCAGGTTGAGGGGCAGAATTATCTCCCCGTGTATCAAAAAGGTTTTAGAAGCTGTGGAGGAAACACTCACCAGACATGCCTCATCTCCAAGACTTGTGTTTGACTTTAAAGAAGTAACTCAAATAGATGGTGCTGGGCTCGGTACACTCATGAAAGTATCTTCGGAGATCATTCCATGTGGTGGGAAAATCGCAGTAATTAATATGAACAAGCATGTCAGAAAACTCATTGTCATGACGCGATTAACCACTGTTCTTGAATGCTTTAAAAGTGAAGATGATGCTGTTACTGCCTTGCTACGACACCCCGAACGAGATTCAAGCTAACTTCGAGGTGTGCTGCTAATGTTAAAAACCCTGGTCGTATTACCAGACTGCTTGTTCTGTCTCCCGGTCAAAGAGATGCATTTCCGTTTCATCAAAACCTAACCAGATAGTATCGTCTACTGCGACCTGAAATGTCGGATGCGTTCTCACCCGAAGTAAGATAGGGTCCTGCGTCTCCGAATGCGTGCCGAGACGGATGTCAAGAATATTTACGGCACCAAGCGGTTCAATGAGATGCACATGCGCAGAAATATTATGTTCACTCGGTTGACTCACTGCTGTGATATGCTCAGGACGAATGCCAAACACCAAACCGTTTTCTTGCGCGCCTGAAGTGATAGTTGCCTGCCGTTCTGGAGAGAGGCGAAGGTGAACATCGGTGTGGCTGAGATGTAGTACGGATTCCCCTTCCTTGCGCGTGAGCTCAGCGTCAAGGAGGTTCATGGTAGGCATGCCCATAAATCCGGCAACGAAGAGGCTCTGCGGTTTATTGTAAATCTCATGCGGGGTGCCGATCTGTTGTAGGATTCCTTGGTGGATCACAGCGATTCTGTCAGCAAGGGACATCGCTTCAACTTGGTCATGCGTCACAAAGATGGTAGTCGCTCCGATTTCATGTTGGAGTCGTTTAATTTCAGCGCGTGTGTCAACGCGCATCTTTGCGTCTAAATTCGCCATAGGTTCATCAAGTAGGTAAACCTTGGGTTGGCGGACCATCGCGCGTCCGAGCGCGACGCGTTGCATCTCACCACCGCTGAGAACACTCGGTTTTCTATCTAACATGTCGGATATTTGTAGGATTTCCGCAACACGCTTGACTTGGGTGTCAATCTCCGTTTTTGAAACATTCACCGCTTTGAGTGGAAAAGCGATGTTATCGTAGACATTCAAATGTGGGTAGAGCGCGTAGAATTGAAAGACAAAAGCGATGTCACGGTCAGCAGGCGAAAGATCGTTGACACGCTGCCCATCAATGAAGATGTCGCCTTCTTCAGGATCTTCCAAGCCTGCGATGAGGCGGAGCGTTGTGGTCTTTACCGCAGCCCAGATGGACCGAGAAAAACGACGAACTCTTTGTCCGCAACTTCGAGGTTAAAATCTTTGACAGCAACGACATCACCGTAGCGTTTTACGACATTTTCAAGTTTGATATGTGCCATACAATTTAAAAGTTGAGCGTACTATGCATTAGAAGCATTAGAAAGTGCATCACTGCCCCCGGAAATGAGCGGCACAGTGAGGTTATCATCGATTGGGAACGGAATGAGTTCCACGATTGTAGCGACCAAGGCACCGACGATTGCTATAACAGGGTTTAATTTAACCAAAGCGATTGCAGTGCAAACAATAAAACACGCAGCACTTCCCTCTAAACTCTTTTTGCCGAGAAGTTTCGTCCTCCCCCACTTTTTGCCGACGAGTGCGGCTGCCATATCCCCTAATATCATAAAAAAGATACAGACAATAGCCAGCGTCTTCGCAAAGAAGAAGATACACAGGAATGCACTGATTAGATAGTAGGTCGCGCCTGTCATTGCACCTTTGCGTTCATGCCTACGGAGAAGGGGTTTGAAAATTCGGGAAAAAAACTCGCCGAAATGTGGAGAGCACCATTTCACCAATTCCACTGCAAGCGCAAGTCCTGTCAGTATCCCCATTAAAACCAACATAGTCGGTTTATCCAAGAAGAAATAGATAACTGGCAGGACGAGTCCTGATAAATGAATGCTTTTGCGGAGCAGTTCGGCTATCATTGATTTGCCTCCCACACAACCGAATAATACATGCTTAATTATTATAGGGTTTACAAGAGAAAATATCAAGGAAAATGGTTTTCAGTACTCAGTACTCAGTACTCAGTGCTTAGATCAATCAAGTCTCCGTCATTACTGGAGAGGTTCTCTAACCTCGTCTTAACTGAGTCCTGATAATTGATAACTATCAGGACTTACGCAAATTGGACAGAGAAAAGGTATATCTTGCTGAAAATGCCTTGCAGTGAGAGTATTTCGTTGTATTTAACCCCCTAAATCCCCCTTATCAGGGGGTCTTTAAGAGGAAATGCGTAAGTCCTAACTATTACAGATGGGCAACGCACGCTTTACACTGCCGGCGAATGATGTTCCTACACGTCCGGTGATGGCACTGAGCACAAATGGAATCGGCAGAAATCTGTTCAGAGCAACTCGACAACAGGCAAATATTGTTACAACAATGCCGAAATTCGAGGTGCCGAAGTTTGAAAGCACCAGCTTAGTGGCTAGAATGGATATGGGAACAAGCCTTGCGCAAACGGAGTTCAACGATCCGGGCAACTTAGAACTCGCCTCAGTCAACTTAGGCGATGCGAAACAGTCGTTTAATGAATTCTTAAAGGCGGTACGTGACAGAATCAAACAGGTTCAACGTTTTCCGCCACGCGTGCGGAATCTGGACGATGGTACGACAACAACCGTTCGGTTTACGCTTTTCAAAGATGGCACGATTCGGAACCCAGAAGTCACGGATTCTTCTGGCTCCAAAGTACTCGATAACGCTGCAATCGCCGCAGTCCAAACTGCTGTGCCTTACCCCTCTTTCCCTGAAGGACAAGCGGGTAATAGCCTGCGACTTGAACTTCCGATTATTTTTGAGTTGGCGAATTAATTTACTCATTTGTAGGCGTGCTTCGGAAACGCACCGGACAATAAATATCGGTTTTGCCACGATAGAGTAACGCAGGAAGGGACGACTTCATGTCGTCCCTTTTTTTTCGGGTAGGCGGACTTGGGGATTACCGATTTAAATACTTAAACTTCGTCAAACCGCACCAGCGTCGGATTTAGAATGCAAACTTATCCTTATCCGCTTTCGCCTTTGCCTCATTCACAAATCCCAACAGTACCAACCCGACGATAAAGAACACCATTAATGAAATGATAGCGAGGCGTGCGCTGCCTGTGACCTGCTTGATAACACCAAAGGTTATCGGACCCCAAATCGACGAAAATTTACTAAAGACAGAATAGAAGCCATAAAACTCGGCACTTGCCTCTTCTGGAATCATCGCGCCATAGAAGGAACGACTCAATGCCTGTGTCCCGCCGAGTACAATACCAACGACTATACCCAAAATAAAAAATTCCGTTGCGGTATGGATGAAATATCCATAGGTGACGACACCACTCCATAAAACCAAAGCGAACATCACAGAACGCCTCGCGCCAATACGGCCTGCGAGTTGACTGAAGATCAGCGCCCCCCCTATTGCGACAACTTGGACAAGCAAGAGTGTCACCATCAGTGCTGTCGTGGAAAGTTTTAACTCTTCGGTACCGTAAATTGTCGCCATGCTGGTAACCGTGTGGATACCGTCGTTGTAGATCATATAAGCAATGAGAAAGAGCGTGAGGTGTTTAAAGCGTCCAACCTTTTTTCGCTGTTGCTATTGTCCGGCTGATGCCAACGGTGAGATACGCCAAGGTTTTCGGTTGATTGTGGTACTTTTCGGGGAGTTCATAAGGTGTTTTTACTTCCTTCAAATACTTAAGTGTCAACAGCGTCCAACCTGCCCACCAGATCCCTGTCATAGCCATCCCGATGCGCGCTGCCATCGTTAAACTAATACCGACTGTCTCGTGCATAGCAATCAGTCCGAGGGCGATAGCAAATTGCAGTGAACCGCCGACATATCCAAACGCATACCCTCTCGCAGAGACGGTATCCATTTTGTCCTCAGAGGCGATCTGTGGTAAAAACGCGTCGTAGAAGACATTACCGCCAACAAAACAGACTTGAGAGCCGAGAAATAATAGAATTGTTAGTCCTACATTACCAGATTCGGAAAAATAGAGCAGCATTGCAAAGAGACTTCCCATATACGCAAAACTCACGAGAAACTTCTTTTTCGCTGAAGAAAAATCGGCGATGGCACCAAGCACCGGAGCAAAGAGGAACACCATGAATGCCGCGCCACCTAACATAAAGCCCCACAATGCTGTAGCACTCATATTCATACCGAGGATGTCAACACCGGTTTCACCTACAACAACTCTCGCGAAATAATCGGGCAATATTGCAACGGCGGCGGTCGTGATATACGCTGAATTTGCCCAGTCGTACATACACCACCCAAAGATTGTTTTTTTATCGTTTTTCATAAGGAAATGATAACAGATTTGATGGAAAAGTCAATGGGATAGTTGTCAGAGGAATGGTTATTAGTTTTCAGTTGCTAATTGTTCTGAATCGCGGATTACGCGGATTTCACGGATTACACGGATTTGGGTTTTCTGTTTGTTCAGTAGTACCGTAGGTTGGGTTGAACGGAGCTCGGAAGGCAGATTTGAGGAGCCAAATACCCCTCAAATCCAACATGTCATCATATACACTCAAGAATCCAGTGAAACCCAACTTCATAACATCATAGCAAAAGTGTTGGGTTTCACTCGGTTTCTGTTTGACGTAGCATGTATGAAGGATTTCATTTTTCTATTGCTTTTCAGGGTTTTGGTGGAATACGTTCAACCCAACCTACGATGCTATGATACAGTTTTTTTAAATTGACCCCTATGGTGCGGTTACAAAGCGCGCGATAGGTGTAAATTTAGCGGTCCTCCAGGCCCGGTAGGTTCGGTTAGGAAACCGAACCATGCGTGTCAATTTAAGAAAAAATAACCGTCGCGGTCCTCAGAAACGGTAGGCGTTGTTTGCAACTGCGCCGGATTTTACCAAAGATCTTGTATGTGCTAAAACCCCTCTTGAGTCCCGGAGGGACGGCATGTTTATAGCAGCGTTTTCGAGCAAAGACCTAAGCCCTGTAAGGGCAGCATGTTTATATCTATAGTTGCCAAAACGCTGTCAAAATCCCTAAATTGACACCTATGGTTCGGTTAGGAAACCGAACCTACCGGGCCTGGGGTGCTTGGCGAGCTGCGTTTTTCTTATAGTGAAGCCCGAAAATAAATGGACATTTCAGTAACCTGTGGGAGGGGTTTCTAACCCCGACCTCCCTTTCCTCTGCTGGCGAGGTTTTGCGGCGTACGCGCCCAAATGCGATCTGCATTCCTAACCTCGCCAACTCGAGTGTATAGTTAATTGTGGGCTTTACTATAAATTGACACCTATGGATTGGCAGAAAGCAACACCTATCCGTCAATTTATTCAATGACCATGCAGAGCGAATTGGGGTAATGGGAGCGTGAGGGTTCCACGCTCCCATTACCCTATCTCTCGGAGATCAGACAAGGTCGAAGCGATCAAGATTCATGACCTTGTTCCACGCAGCGACGAAGTCCCGCACAAATGCTTGTTGAGAGTCATCATACGCGTAGACTTCCGCAATGGCTCGGAGCTGGGAGTTTGAGCCGAATACGAGATCGACACAGGTGCCGGTCCACTTGAGATCGCCTGTCAAGCGATGGCGCCCCTCGAACACACCCTCAGTTGTAGAGGATGCCAGCCACTCGATGTTCATGTTAAGTAGGTTCACGAAGAAATCAGTAGTCAACGTCTCGGGACGGTCAGTGAAAACGCCGAGTTCGGACTGACCGACGTTTGCATTTAGGACGCGCAAGCCACCGACGAGCACTGTCATCTCAGGTGCGGTTAGCGTCAGCATTTGTGCGCGATCCACCAGCAACTCTTCATCTGTTCTCTGGTGTCCGTTTGCGAGGTAGTTGCGAAATCCGTCGGCGGTTGGTTCAAGCACAGCAAACGATTCGACATCCGTTTGCTCCTGCAACGCGTCCGTGCGCCCCGGAGCGAAGGGAACCTGTACATCGATGCCAGCGTTCTTCGCAGCTGCCTCGACCGCTGCACACCCAGCGAGAACGATCAGGTCAGCAAGCGAGACCCTCTTCCCGTCGGATTGCGATCCGTTAAATTCCTTTTGAATCTCCTCCAGGGTCTGAAGTGCCTTCTCCAGTTCGGGCGGATTGTTGACTTCCCAATCCTTTTGCGGCGCGAGACGAATGCGTGCCCCATTAGCGCCACCGCGCTTGTCGGTACCGCGGAATGTTGCCGCAGATGCCCAAGCGGTCGAGGCGAGTTGAGAAATGGACAGCCCTGATTCGAGGATCTTGGTCTTCAAGGCAGCAATGTCTTGCTCCGCAATCAATTCATGATCAACATCAGGGACGGGATCTTGCCACAGCTGCGGTTCCGCAGGAACCAAGGAACCGAGACAGCGTGTTCGAGGTCCCATGTCGCGGTGGGTCAGCTTGTACCACGCCTTAGCAAAGGCATCTGCGAACTCTTCCGGGTTCTCGTAGAAGCGTTTGGAAATCTTCGCATAGGCTGGATCCGCTTTCAGAGATAGGTCGGTCGTGAGCATCATGGGGGCGTGCTTCTTCGAGGAATCGTGAGCGTCCGGCACGGTGTCCTGTGCAGATTCATCTTTGGGAGTCCACTGCCATGCACCGCCGGGGCCTTTTATCAGTTCCCACTCGTAGTCGAACAGGTTTTCAAAGAAGTTATTGTCCCACTTGATCGGCGCGGTGGTCCAGGCACCCTCCAACCCGCTGGTAATCGTGTCGCTGCCCTTGCCGCTACCGTAGGTGTTCTTCCAGCCGAGTCCTTGCTCCTCAAGGTCGGCACCCTCGGGTTCGGGCCCGACGTACTCATCCGCATCAGCAGCACCATGGGTTTTGCCGAACGTGTGTCCGCCAGCGATGAGTGCAACCGTCTCCTCGTCGTTCATTGCCATGCGACGGAACGTCTCTTTAATGTCTATAGCTGCAGCGACAGGATCCGGGTTACCATTCGGTCCCTGTGGATTCACATAGATTAGGCCCATCTGAACGGCACCGAGGGGATTCCTCCAGTTCCCTATCGCCGGTGTAGCGCTCGTCCCCCAACCACGTGGTCTCGGATCCCCAATAGATGTCTTCTTCGGGTTCCCAGACATCCTCTCGCCCGCCAGCAAACCCGAGGGTCTTGAGACCCATCGACTCAAGGGCACAGTTCCCAGTGAGGATCATCAGGTCGGCCCACGAGATTTTCTGTCCGTACTTTGCTTGATCGGCCAGAGCAACCGGACCGCCTTATCGAGGCTCGCGTTGTCGGGCCAACTATTGAGGGGGGCAAAGCGCAACGTGCCGGAGGCTGCACCGCCGCGTCCATCGCCAATACGGTATGTGCCTGCACTGTGCCACGCCATCCGAATGAAGAGGGGGCCATAGTGGCCGTAGTCGGCGGGCCACCACTCCTGCGATGTCGTCATCACCTTATCAATATCCTGTTTCAGGGCATCCAAGTCGAGTGTCTTGAACGCCTCGGCGTAGTTGAAATCCTCCCCCATAGGATTGGCTGTGGGTGGGTTCTGGTAGAGCATCTTCAGGTTCAACTGATTCGGCCACCACTGTTGGTTCGCTATGGTGCCCCGTGCGTGAGAGTGGTGCATCACTGGGCACTTACTTTCGTTGCTCATATCTCCTCCAATTGTGTTCTGCGTTTTTTCTAATCTATTCTTTGAAGTATTCCTTAGGATTTGCATGGATAGGCAGATACATAACCTTGCGATTACGCTTACTATGTTTGCCAGTGTGATGTATTAATCATGCCATAATTTCTGACCAAAGTCAAATCTTTTTTTAACGTTTTGGTCCTTTCCGAAAGGGTGGACTTTCCTTCCCTGATTCCAATCCGTAAAATTGATGATAACAAGTTTGCGTGAGAAATCAATTGAGGATAGTGATCAGGAAAGCATTCCTACAAAAGGACTGAATGCGTTTGGAAGTAGTATCGTAGGTTGGGTAGAACGGATGCCACCAAAACCCTAAAAATAATAAAAATGAAGTTTTCTCCATACACGCCACATCAACCAGAGACCGAGTGAAACCCAACGCTTCTATTGTGAAGCATCCGGGACTACGACGGTATAAAGTTGGGTTTCACTCCGTTCTTGTAGTGATATGGCAGTATATCAGATTTGACGTGTTTGGAATACCTATGTCCGTCTTCTCAGTTCCGTTCTACCCAACCTACGGGACCACGTAAATCCTAAATTGACACCTATGGTACAATTACTAAGACAATTTTCAGATATAGCACTCCGCATGAAGATTAAAAAATAACTTGGGTAATGTGTCCAGACCCGGTAGGTGCGGTTTCCCAACCGCACCGGACTTGACAAAGAGACCTCCCAGAATTACCCGTTTAAATTCTTAAACTTCATCTGGAGTGCGGGAGGTGTCAAGACCTTTCTCTATTCTCACTGCGAAGCAATATTGCTCCGCTGGAGCAAAGAGTTTCTACACAGATACCACCTTTATGAGGTGAAAACTGACTGGGTTGGGGTCGTGTTTTCCTCAGTTCTATAATGGCCGAAACTCATAGAAAAATACACCGACCTTTGAAGATTCAAATAAAACGTGAGATAAATTGTCCAAACTTTAGGACGATTAGATGAAGATTCAAAAATAATTCGGTAATTTAACAAGATACCCAGTGCGGTTACCACAGCGTTTCTGACGTATGTCCGGTGCGGTTAGGAATGCAGATCGCATTTGGGTGAGTACACCGCAAAACCTCGCCAGCGAGGGAGTATGTGCAGGATTGTTATTCATTGAAATGTCAACATATTTTCGGGCTTTACTATAAAGGGTTCTTGGTTTTCACCGCTCTACCCAACCTACGAAAACCACGCTTGCATTTTTATTATCGAGTTCACGTTATAGATAAGAATGTGCAGAATTTCGATAAATGTGGTATAATAGAGGAAAGTTTTGAGATGCTTTCGGAGGTCGCTTTTGGTAGAACTTGCAAGCGGAAATTCGTCCACAAAACCTATTTTGTATACCATGGATTATCTATGTAGATGGCTATCAATGCTACTCCTCTTTTCTATCGGTGTCGGTGTCCATGCCGAAATTGAGGAACTTCAAGCAAAAGCGTACCGCACATACGAAAGCATTGAAATTGATGGAGAACTGACAGAGTCTGACTGGCAGAAAGCAACGCCTATCCATCAATTTATTCAATTTGAACCCGATGCAGGTGCCCCTTTAACAGAAGCAACAGAGGTTCGGATTCTTTATGATGATAAACACATCTATTTCGGTTTTGTCTGCAGCGAACCTGATCGTTCTAAGATTGTTGCCAATAAGATGCGACGCGATACGATGTTATGGGACAACGACAACGTTTTTGTCCTATTGGATACGTATAACGACCGTCGCAGCGGTTTCTTCTTCCGGGTCAATCCACTCGGCGCCCGGGAAGATGTGGCAATAATGGACAGTGGCGACAGTCGAAATGAAAATTGGAACGCGGTTTGGGACTGCA